TGCAGACTGCAGGAACAACAGCTTACCAAGAGCTTTTAGATTCGATGCCTAGGACTAGTCTACAATCGTTTTTTTTCGTATTCGACTTAAATCAGTTTACATGAAAAAAAATGTTTTTTACATACTCGATGCCTTTAAATTCACAAAATCATAAAACGCATAGACTCATAATCATTATGCATCTAATTAAGCAAAACAAAACTGGCCATTAATGCACTTTGTACTCAACCTACATTACCTAATGTACAATAGTCAATATACATATAATTATGTATAGAAGTCAGGTATATAAATACCTATGTATCTCTTATTGTTTTCTATGTGAGTATATAGCAATATACATACTTAGTATAGTATTCTATGTACGTCGCTAGCAACAGTCTTCATTAGCCATTGGACTAACGTCCTAGATGTCTCCCCATTGAGTAAAATGGCTGAATTGTTGAATTTCTTTCTGGGTAAAGGGATGGACATGGTTGACCTATTGACACTTGCTCTCACCTCACTTAGGACCGAAGAAGTCATTACATAATGTTGAACGCGACTGGTTCTGGTCGGGCGGCGAGCTACCCTTTCTCACCGTCCGCAGACCCGCGCTCACAGTGCCCTTAAATCAACTCGCCGCCCGACCAGAACCAGATCAGAGATCAGATCGTACGGCGCGTAGCGTTCCGCGCGCCTCAAAGAGCCAATAGACCACCACAGACGGGGCCCTATAGGGCTGATGTTCAGCCGAGTTGTGGGGTAAGCACAATGTGGCACCGCGACCTCGGTCCAGAGCAGGCGAAGGAACAGGGGAGTTTTTAGTTAGTAAAAGTCTGACACTCCCTCCCTGGCCCTGGGCGGGAGAAGTCATTTAATGATTTTCCCCTCACAAAATAACAGTGCCCTTAAATCGACGCGCGATCCCTCGGTGACAGGTTCTTAGTTATAACGATAGTCGGCTGCGACATATACATACAACATATCGATTTCCTTGGACACTTATATGTCTCGGTAATTCTCTGGACACCAATTGTTTGTCGTTGCTACAGGAATAAATTGATCTCAAAGGAGATAATAATTATTAATTGTATTCTAATATACTAAGATAAGTATATATTATCTTAAAATCTGTTTAAGAATATTAATGTTCTTATCGACTGGTTTTTAATGACTTATTTTTTAAATCTATAATATCCAATATCGAAGTTAAATAATAGTGAAACTAAGTTAGAAAAACATCGATCACTAATAAAGAACTTTATTAGTGATCGATGTAGAAAAATGATTTTTATATAATAAAAAATAAAACAATAAAATCAAATCATTGTGAAATGTGATTTGATTTTACAAATATTATATTGTTTTTTTTTCTATTGTTAATCCACCTGTTCGCAGTCGCCGTATCACAAAATAATAATTAAATTTGCTAGTTATCAAATTTGCTTTGTTTGGTCGTGGTAGCCTTCGACTGCCGACAGAAAAACATTGAAGGAGAATCCTTCGTACCGTATCCCACCTCTGACTTACGTGGCAGTTAAAGCGTTAATATAGGTTATTAAATACCTACATAATAAATAACTACAAATTCTTCAGAAGCATAACTAAAACTTTGTATAAAACTTCCTCCATCCGTCGAATAATTAAAACATTATCTGATTTTAATTTCACGGCGATTTGTTGAGAAAATTGCTCGAACTGTTACCGAGTAATTACAAAAACATTACAGAATATTTAAATTTTCATTATGACCATGTCAAGTACTCATTGTACCTATAGATATTTTTAATGATTTTCATAATGCTCTTATATGCTCTAAATGATTTTTTTGTGAGGGAAACTTCATCAAGTGTCTTTTCCGGGTAAGGGTCGGTCGGGAAGTAGTGTCAGACTCTTACTGACTAAAAACCCTCCTGTTCCTTCTCCTGCTCTGGGCCGAGGCCTTGTCAGAATGAGAATTTGAACTGAAAAAAGTTAAAATAGATGTGATATCTGATCACATTTTAGCTCAACATTTATACAATGTGAGCCATAAGTCGCCAAACGCTAAATAAACATGACGATCCATAGATTTCCAAATTGGCCGTCTGGAAGTTACGTTCTCAATTCATCGACACAATTTTCAATCTATTTACAGCTTCATCTAACCGATTTCTAATTATACCCGATTACGTGAATTCCCATTTCAGTTGCATGAAATTTCCTTCAGTGGAATGCAGTATTGAATGACTTTGGCACTTTGAAACGTCAACATACAGTTTGCCGTCAGTCTGTCCATCAGTAAAGCTAAGTGCTCGTTGCAAATTGTAGATTCATATAAACTGCTAATGAGTAAAAATTTCATCGTCGTTTTTTTTTATTGAATAGGTCGACAAACGAGCAGACCGATTACCTGATGGTAAGTAATCAGCGTCGCCCATGGACACCCGTAACGGAGGAGTAACGAGTGCGTTGCCAACCTTTTAGGGATTAGGGTTTTGGAGATTTAGGGATTGGGAGGGATCGGGGGAGGGGAAGGATTGGGTCTCCGGTAACCTCACTCACACGGCAAAACACAACGCTGTGGTTGTTTCACGTCGGTATTCTGTGAGGCCGTGGTGTCACTCCGGTCGAGCCGACCCATTCGTGCCGAAGCTTGGCTCTCAACCACTGCGTTGTGTTTCGCCGTGTGAGTGAGGTTACCGGAGGCCCAATCTTTCCTCTCCTAATCCCAAAATGTCTAAATCTTTAATCCAAAAATGGTCGGCAATGCACTCGCAAGTCCTCCGCTGTTGCGGGTGGGCGGCGCTGATTGCTTGCCATCAAGTAATCCATCTGCTCTTTTGCCATCCTATAACATTATAAAAACGATGTTTATCAAGAGGGATCAGTAGAAACCTTGAAATAATAAATTTTACAGTATCTGTTACGCCACAAGTGTGTTATTCTGCAAGATACCCAGTCGATAAGTATATTATATCTTATCGTATTGTGTAATTCTAAACCGCGTGCATTTCTGTCTATTAGCTCATATTAGGCTTTCATTTTAAAAACAAGAGTCAATGAGTACAACGAGTCATAAGTACAACAGGACATATCTATTTTTGTACTAAATATTGTTGAACTATGTGTGTACTACTTCTCAGCTGGTTTAAACTCAGCGATACCACAGCTTCACAAAAACAAACAACTTCAAACAACGCGTGTTTTGTGTATGATTGTTCTCTTCCTCCTATTCTTCTTCCTTCCTCTCTTTCTTCTCTTCTCACTCTTTTGGTGTTACGGATCTAGGCGGGGCTGATTACTTAACATCCAATCTAATGACTGTGAAAATCACCCTTGTTAAGGCTAGAGGGAGTGTCAAACTCTTATTACCAAAAACCACCTCGTTATTTCTCCTGCCTCAAGCTGGGGCTCCGGTACATTATTGCTGGCTTACCCTTACACCCTGTCACACAGTAGGATTATTTTATTGGGACGAAAGACAAAAGCCTAGTCTAAACTATCTCTATACTAAAATTATATACACAGATACACTTTTCACCATTTGTATCGACTACAAATATGTACATATCTGTAGTGTGGGAGAGCCATGCTTCGGCACGAATGGGTCAGCTCGACCGTAGTAATACCACGGCCTGACAGAAAACCGGCGTGAAACAACCACAGCGTTTCACCGTGTGAGTGAGGTTACCAGAGGCCCAATCTTTCCCCTCCCCCAATCCCTAAAATCTCGACAAAGAACTCGTAACTCCTCCGTTGCGGGTGTCCATTGGCGGCGCTGATTGCTTACCATCAGGTAATCCATACAAAAAAATATCTTCTGAAACCAAATCGCCCATTTATTTGTCTACAGAAACAGAAGCAGTTCTTCAGAATTAGGGTAAAAGATAAATAAAACATGTTTCTTAATGTTATCACGAAACGCCTTCAATGAACAACTTGCTTGTAAGTTGATAAGCTATCAATCAATATAAGAAATCGCTTCCGTTATTGCTGACGAAGTGAGTGAGTGACTCAGCACAAATTAAAGGGCATGTGTATTTGTGTGTAACACAAGAGTTTATTAATCATTGCCCCACTTTAGAATTTGTCTCCTGTGTCGTGGTCACAAACATACAATTTCACATACAGTTTACACTCAGATCAGTTTATACTCCTCCGAACAGGCGAGGTGATCACCTACAATATACTTTTTTTTGTGAGGGGAGAATCATCAAATTATTTCTCCCGGCCAGAGGGGCGGGAGGAAGTGTCAGACTTACTGACAACTATGATGTAAGATATGTAAAGCCATCTATTGGACAGTGTATTAGAAATAGTCTTATACATACATTTTTTCATATCATCAGTGTGATGTAAATAAGTTTTTTACACGCCTGAAAGTTTTCATGGACACACATCAACACTCGTATCGTATTTATCGCATGTATTACAGGATCTCCCGTGATCTTTCGAACGCTTTATCAAAGTGTCACTGTCAATCACCTAGTCAGATTAAAATTAAAGATAGTCGATTCAATATCTATATAGATTGAACTGGTTTTCGTTTGTCAACCTTTTTGGATTAGGTATTTGTACGTAATTTTTTTGCATCGATTATGTAGTTCATATCCATATGATACAATTACAATCATGATGATTATAAAGCCAAAAACAATGTAGACGTAAATAATATATATATTATATATTATATTATATAATATATATATATATATATATATATATATATATATATATATATATTATATATTATATATTTATAATAATATATTATAAACATTAGAAGGAAATTCTATTCCCTTAATAAAGTAATTCATTGCAACGACTTTTAGAATTTAAAAACTTTACAATACTTTGCTCAACCTAGCAATTCCCATCGAGAGTTTAGCAATTCCAAAGAACATTTCACCAGCATTTTTTTTCTCGTTCACATCAAACAGCATCCTAAAAACCAAAAAAGATTTCCCCACTGAACCAAAAAAGAAAAAAACATAAAAAAAATGTTGGTCTTCATTTTCTTGTTTTACCTGTTCCAGTGTTTCGTGACGATAGGAGTATGCCTCAACATGGCTGCCCACGGCCTGGTCATGGGGTTTAACGCCATCCTGCTGCCACAGCTCAGGAAACCAGACTCCATCATACCTATCGATGACTCCTCAGGATCTTGGATTGGTAAGTACATACAGCTCTGGTGAAAAAAATTGTATCTAGAGACTAGTAAAGACGTAAAAGACGTAAAGACATTGTAGCTCACTGTTCTGGCGTTCCAACTGCATTTGCTGGACGTCAATATGAAACACAGTCCACCTACATATACAATAAAATTAACTCTAAACTACACAACATATATCCTTTATCCATGCACGAGTGTAAAAAAACTATTGTCACATGGTTGAACACTCTAACTTTGTTTTGTTTTTCTTTCTTTAATTTTTAAATATAATATATTTGTAGTTATAGTCTCAACACTGTAATTTTGTAAGGGAAGAAACGAGACAGCCCCAACACAGGTGCTTTCGTAACTTACTGGGGTTGCCTTAATTTATATTATGTACTAGTAACCATCAATATTATACAGATAAAAAATTATATCACTTTTATACTCATATTTCAATCCCACCCAGTCATAAGACATTCTGCATATGGATTATCCCAGAAATCAATCAATAGACCAACTATTTTAGAAAATTCGTATAAATTGACCAACTTAAGTAACACAATATTTTTCTTCATTATATCAATGTCTGGAGAGTACCTGATGCTTTTGGGGCACAAATTTGAACTTATTAAAGTTTCATATTATGCTCCAGTATCTCACTAACAAACTATTACAATGTAAGAAGAAGAGTATTTTCAATAACATCTAATATCAATGTTTTCAATTTCCAGCTTCAATCATTGGCTTCGCCCTGGTAGCTGGTAACTTCATCGTGCCTCCAATCATGGCCAACTATGGTCGCCGTACCGCCAATCTCTTCAGCGTGGCTCCCCTCATCATTGGCTGGTTCTCCATCATCATGGCCAAGAGCGTTCCTGTCCTTCTAGTTGCAAGATTCCTCCAAGGGATTTCCATGGGCATGAGCGCTTCTCTAGGCCCTGTCCTAATTGGAGAGTACACAAGTCCTCACAACAGAGGAGCTTTTCTGACAATGATATCCCTCTGCATAGCAACGGGAGTGCTGACTGTACATACTATGGGTTCCTACCTACACTGGCAGACGACTGCCTTAGTGTGCGCGTGTATTGCGTTTGTTGATCTCCTAATAATAATTTACTCTCCCGAGTCCCCAAGTTGGCTCGCAGACCAAGGTAGATACGATGAATGCAAGAAAGTCTTCCGCTGGCTAAGAAATGAAGATGAAGAAGAAGAATTGCAGAAGATGATTGAAGCCAGTATTGTAGTGAGAGAGTCTAAAGCTGATGCCAACATATCACAGTCATTTGGCAAGAAAATCAAAAGTGGTATAGTCTACTTCAACGCTACGATTAAGAAGAAGGAATTCTACAAACCTATTTTTATTATGATGCATATTTATACTTTAGGACAATGGGCGGGAGCTAATATATTAGCTGCGTACACTATAGATATTTTCAATCACGTTATTGGCAGTGATGTGAACATAGCTCTCTTAGTCATCACTCTAGATGCTCAAAGAATATTCTCGAATGCTATAGCAGTATTAGTTATAAAGAAGATTAATAGACGAACGATGTTGTTCGGTACAGTTATTATTAACTTAATTGCGTTCTTGTTGACTGCAGCATACACTTATTTTAAAGGTCAGGGCATGTTACCTGAGTACCTGGAGAATCCTATGGTTGGTGTGGCGTTGGTCCACCTTCACATGTTCACGATCGCGACTGGAACAGTTCCATTGCCTTTCATCATAGCTGGTGAAGTGTTCCCTCTAGAGTACAGAAGCTTGGCGGGTGGTATCAGCGTATTGTTCCTTTCCACAAATCTCTTCATAACTGTTAAGACAGTGCCTTTCTTCTTCGGTACTTTAGGCATCCATGGAGCTTATTGCATCTACGCAGCTGTAGTAGGATACTGTCTAGTCATAGCTTACTTCTTCCTGCCTGAAACGAAGGACAGGACTCTACAGGATATTGAAGATGAGTTCAGAGGTAGACCTTTGTCTCCTGAAGAGTTGAAATCCACTCAATCGTTGACCTCGTGGCAGTTACATAAGCAGGACAGGAGATGTAGTAGTCCTGTAGTTTGATTAAATATATAAGTGATACATTATGTGATACATAGAAATTCATCAATGGAGGACATTTACTACAGTATTGTTAACATATAATTCTTAGTAAGGAGGTATGCGAACAAATAAATGTAAAATATGAAACGGTTTTGTAAATAGCGTTCGTTGAGGTAGTTGTAAACTAATTTATTGAAAAAAGATATTATAGTTAAGTTTACACCATAATAGAATATGTTGTTATAAAAATTGGCTGTCGTTTTATTTCGTCTTTAACATTAAATGATTAGATGACCTCCCAATGGTGTACTTGCAATGTTGTTATTTTCTACGTATATTATTAGGATTTGGTTTCAAAAGCGTTGCCCATCCACAAGCAATTACCCAGTGCTACTTTCTCAAAAAACAAAGCATGCGAAAATGTAGCTGTTTTTTTTTTGTAATGTTTTAGATTACGTACAATAAAAGTCCTAAATGCTGGTCATTTTAGTCAAGCAGTATTATAACAATATTTGTACTGAATGTTGTCCCTAGGGATATTTTACAATCAGTAAAACTCAGTACATATCACGCATTAACGATGAATTGTTTTTTGTTTTTTTTATGAGGTAGATCGATAAACGAGCATACGGATTAGCTGATGGTAAGTAATCAACGCCACCCTTTGACATTCGCAAAACCAGAGGAATTACACACGGAAGCGGCGTATCTATACTGAATTTATGCTTTTAACAACCTACCTTTTTATTCGAAGGGCTAGGAAATGATCTTCAGCCAACGAAGGTGCGGGGAAGGCGAAGGTCCGGAGCTGGAGAATGAACGGGGAGTGTTTCAAAGAAGATGCACATATAGGTATGTGTGCAATGTACAATGTGCACAAACTGAACACCAAATATGTACCAGCAATAGGGGGAAAGCCTATAGCCGGGCAAAATTTCACACTCTGTGCAACCAAAGCGAGCATCATTTATTTCAGCAACTGGTAATGATAATTAGAACGCCTCGACAATGCATTTTATTTAAAACTGCCGGGCACTTCTATTTTAATATTTGGACGCTTTCAAGGCAAGACAACGCCCATGTGATAAATAAATGTAGACCTGAATATAAGCACCTTTCTATGTCTCACATTAATAACTATTCTGATTCTTATTCTCAACTCGATTACTTTTTTAATTCGAAAAAACTGTAATGTGTTTATTTAACTGGTTTAATGACGCTACCAGCTGTATCCGGCCTTTAAAAGGTAATAGCTTTCGGTATCTACTGATAACCCTGTTACAGGTTCAGTCGTTACTCGTTGTAGTAGTTCAAGTATTTTTTTTTACTTGCTATAAACTAGTGCTTGACTGCGATCCTACCTGATGGTAAGCAGTGATTCAATCGTTGATGGTAAGGCGCACTAGTTTATTAAGAACCTATTCACTCTAGCCTTGAAGACACCTAAATTATATTTGGACACAAACATCATCATTCATCCTTAAACTCGGATCAAGAATAATAGATATAAGAGGGATGGCAACGAGAGACAGTTAGATCAAATCTACAAAAGACACGACGCCTGTTAGAATAGAAATTGCAAAAGTAGTTTTAATATGTGTATATGTATAGAAGTTTATTATTATATTATGTAGAGGCAAAAAAAACTTCTCTGGCCATCTACTGTATATAAGTCACATAATTAATTGAAATTTGCTACAGACGAATTTGATTCCTGCATCCTCACGCTCTCGTTAAAGACTGGACACCAATGTTGGTAGTTAGTCAATAAGAGTCAGGCAGATTTTACGCCTGGGGAGACGAAGTAAGGGCTTCCAGAAAGACATCTAGATTTTCCACCTCGGTGCAAAAAACCCATGACAACCCCTGAACCTAAGGCAATATAAGTTTATCCGGAACGAATGTGAAGGATACAGGCTCCAAACATCGTACACTATTTTTACAATAAGTATACTGAGAACTTTAGAATTATAACATTCTTACGCCAACCAGGCACTTTATGCAATGCATATCCACGTTATCCATTGGCATGGCTATTAATCACACCACAGATTATATTACAACAAAGGAATTACACAACATTTGTACAACAACAAGACACATTAAATTTATTTAAATTAACGCACATTCAATACATTACTGCAACTTACGACGTCACAAGACGGATGTAATTAAAATAAAATCGACTTTATGACATCCATTTATAAGGCGACGCGACCCCTTGCTATCGGTACAGTGGTAACAAGGTTCATTTTGCAGTAACTTGTGTTCAAAGTAAGTAAAGTTCAGTTTATTTTATAAAATTATTTAAAAAATGGTTGTGTTGGTGGAGCTCTGAAACGGCGGGGCCGATTTGGAGTAAACTCTTTTATCTGATAGCTGAATTCTTTTTTTTATGGGATAAGTCGGCAAACGAGACCGATTTCCTGATGGTAAGCACTCGGCGCCGCCCATGGACACCCGAAAAACTAAAAGAGTTACGAGTGCGTTGCCGGCCTTTTGGGGATAAGGTTTGCGGATATTTAAGGATTGGGAAGGGTAGGGATTGGGCCTCCGGTAACCTCATACACACGGCGAAACACAACGCTTTATGATGTATATAGGTTGTTTGATGTGACATTACAAGGTTTAGAAAAATGCTATCCATGTTTTTAACCAATGTATTAAATTGCATATACAAAATAAACCTCACCTATGTGTATGACATTCACCAACTGTTAAGTACTGTGATATTCACGAGCCTCTTTGAATCATGAGTTGATATGTAATAGGTAAATATCGACCTGTTGTTCCTGTTACTGTTCCATAAAATTCATTGTTCTCAATACCTGTCATTAAAAACAGGTCATATGTACCATTTTACGAGTTTACAGGAGCAGCTTCTATATTTGTAAATTCTTTACAGCTTGATATCAAATAAAATCATATGAAGTCATTAACTATGTTAATAACAGTTGAATAAAACAGTACCTAAACACGACAGAATATTCGTGAAGCTTAAAAAAAATGAATCCCTAAAAAATATAGTCCATTAAAATTTCGTTAACACGTAACAAAATATCAAGCTGTTATTTCAAGTACAACTTTTGTTTCCCGGCAAAAAGACCTGTGATACCTGTTATTTCTACCCGCAAGAACAGCTGTTACTCTGTAGTATCTGTGTGATACTTGTTATATATACTTGTGACGATAAATGTGGCTCACGCACAATATTTAATCAAGTTTATTTGGTGATATTTTGCTAACTGTATAAAACTTCATTATCGAGATTTAATTTCACTGGTTGACGATTTAAAACCTTAATTATCAAATACCACCTCATTTAATTGTAACCCCAGAAGCAGGACGCATCCGTGAAAGCATTAAAAATCACTGTAACAGTCTTGTTAAATGAGAAATACCATGCTAATACTAATATTCTTAAAATATGATATTTCCAGTCCCTCATCACAAATATCCACGATGAACTCGGTTGCCCGTACCGCCACAAGGATGATCTCTCTGCTGGTGCTGATGATGTGCTGGTTCAGCGCCATGGCCTTCAGGAATAGCAGCCGTATACCCAGCAAGAGACCCAGGGTTGTCCAAACCGTTGACTTTGATGAAAGTTAATTTGCCTAAATCGATTCATAAATTTTTTTTTTTTTTGAGATTTTATAAAATAAAGAAAGTGTATTTTTTCCGGGATATTATTATGTACAATTGTCACAGTAGTTTACCATTTCATTGAGAAAATATTTTTTCATGAATCTAAACCTTAACGATAAGCTTAATTTCTAAAAGACAAGTAAATAATGCACCCATTGTAAAGACATCGTTACATAACGTTAATAAATAATAAAAATAAAATTGAGAAGAAAAACTATATTCCTGTCTTCATTTTGTTCCACCATATCATATAATATTTTCAACATTTAATAAATTAGCACATCAAGTAACAATATAAAATAAATATCTTTTCTTCACAATATTTGTAACTATTATCTACACTACAAATCCTATTTACAATAATACTTTCAGTTTTTTTACAAATTAAACATCTCTATTCCAATCATTCCCAAACCAAAGAACTAGAACTATAGAGGAATCTTCAGAACATTGCATAACTTTGCAAAACAATAAAAGGCAAAACCTTAAGTCAGTGACTAAAAACACATATAACTTGAATTATATAAGACTGCTGCATCTTCTAGCAGACATTTTCCTCTTGTATGCAACAATTGGATCAGCTTGCAGAGACTTTCTCACTTCAATCTCCTCAGGGGCCAACGGCCTGCCTCTGAACTCATCTTCTATCTGCTGCAGAGTTCTATCCTTGGTTTCTGGTAGAAGGAACCAGATGACTACCATGCAGTAACTGATGATACAGCCGTACACTATATAGGCCCCATACATGCCTACTGACTCAACTAAACCTGTGAAAGTCTTTAGTACCAAGAAAAACGTAGCTGAAAAAGATGCCAGACTGATGGTCCCGCCTATGCTGCGGTACTCCAGAGGGAAGACTTCTCCTCCAATGACATTCGGCAAGGGCAACATTCCTGTAGCTACTGCGAAGAATTTCAAGTTAATCAGTAATATTGGTATCCAAACGGCGTCGTATGGTAAAGTTCCTTGCTGTTTGAAGTACACGTACGCAGCCAAAGCGAACTGAGCAAAGATCGAAAGACCACCAGTGGCAAACATCATTGTTCTTCTCTTGAATTTGTTGATAGCGAACACTGCTAGAGTATTCGAGACGAATCGTTGAGCTCCTAAAAATATCATCCAGAAATTTGCGTTAACTTGAGGTCCCATCACAACCCCTATTATCATAGTAGAATAAGCAGACATTGTGGTTCCACCAGCAAAGTTCACCAACACATGAGCATGCATCATTAGAACGATAGGTTTGTAAAACTCTTTCTTCTTTATCGTGGATACAATTTTTCGTAAACGATTATTCTTTTTATGAAAACTTGCGGCGATCATTGCTTTTTCGTACATCAGTCGGCCTTCAATCATTTCTTCGAGTTCATCATCTTCGTCGTCACCTCGGAGCCAGCGGAAGACCCGTCTGCATTCGTCATGACGGCCTTTTGTGACAAGCCAGCTAGGAGATTCTGGTGAGTAAATGGTCATGATGATGCTTATGAACGGGAAGAAGGAGCATATTAATGCTGCCTGCTGCCAACTTAGGAAAGACCCGATAAGATGTACGAAGAATATTCCAAAGGATTGTGATAAAGAGACGGTGGTGAGGAAAGCTCCTCTGTTCTTCGGGCTAGAGTATTCTCCAATGAGGACTGACCGTAAAGGTGAGAGCATGCCGATTGATAGACCTTGAAGTATCCGACCAGCGAAGAGAACCTGCGAAAAAAATATTGAATCTCTGTGTTAATCAGATAATGATCATTCACACGCTAGTGATAATTATGTGATCACAGTGATACGTGCGCTAATTGATACATTTCGTGACCATCAATAATTATTTTTTAGTTTAGTTTGCGTTAGAAAAACCTACATTGGTAAGATTTTCTTTAGGCCTCCGGTTACCACATGGCGAAACACAGCTGTGGTTGTTTTAAGCCCATTTTCTGTTAAGCAATACCATCAATCCAGTCGAGCAGACCCATTTGTGTCGAAGCTTGACAAAAAATTATAAATGTGTGAGCATTTATAATTTTAATGCGAAAAGCATTTTAATGAGAATAATGAATCTAAATATTTTCGATTTTATTTACCTCAAAGTTGGTAGCCATAGTGATGACAAACCAGCCGATTAGGTTGGGTACAGTTGCTGTGAAGTGAGCTACTCTCCTGCCAAACTTTTCCATTATGGGAGGGGAGATGAAGCTCCCAACTAGCTGCGTGATGCCCAGGATTGATGCTGGAGAAGAATTACGACTTGTTAATAAAAACAGCGAACACCTAGCAAGGTTAAACGCATAGGCAACCTTTGTATCAGAACCTTATACGCCACTGTATATTTTGTTTGGACGGGCCGATTAGTAATTATTGTTTGATGCCTTACAGACGTAAATGATGATGATGATGGTAACGGTAGGTTATAATCAATTAATACGTTAGACATTTTTTTTATAAGCATGATACCCTTTCTTCTGTACCTACTATTTTTGATTGTTTACAATAAAAACAATTGTAAGGATCTGTGGTCTTTAAAGTTGTTTTCATAAAATTTCATCACCACATTTAATTACGTGACACATACCTATACAAATTAAGTTTAAATTCAAATATAATCTAGTCTAGACACTCACAATGCCTAAATTACCACTATAATAGGCCCTTCGTGACTTTTACAATAGATTGACTACGGAGGGACTTACCAATCCATGATGCTGAAGCTGCATCCAGCTTAAAGGCGGAGTCCACGAGATGGAGCTGAGGTAGCAGGATCCCAGGGTAGCCGATCACGGCGCCATGGCCGATAATGTTGCTACCCACTGATGCTGTCACGAAACACTGGAATTTTCAAAAGCTTATGTTATTATTTTTGAAATAGAAAATTTGGATTTAGTTGTAATAAAAATACTTCTTGTACATAGTAAGAGTAAATGAAATGTATTTTAATTTTCATAATTTATATATTACTGAATCTGCTTACATGGTTTTTAAATTCATAATTCGAATACCTATAATATTTTGTTGCTATCGTCATCAGATATAAAATGCGTACTTAATTTTAAATATTAATTTAAAAAAGAGGTAACAATTTTTGGTAGTAAATTATTTTCTGAGTTATCATTATTATTTTCAGATAACAATTAAAAGATAATTTAATTTAGTCACAGACAGAAAAACTTACTTGTTTCCAAAACGGTGAAAATCTGCTTTTTCTTTTTGTAGACATTTTTCAGCTTATTTTTCTACATTTATGTAATATCAATTGTTTAAAAAACTATCACTTACATCAGTCTTCGTGTGCTACTGTACAATATAAACTGTTGAATACAGTTATATTAGTATTAATAAAATAATAAATGTAAGATAAGTGGTAGACAGAACAATTTAATCAACCGAGTCAGTTGAAAACTGAAAAACTTATCAAGCTGTAATTCATGAGGAAATATTATCCTTTACAGCTCGATCAGTATATTTTTATTCGACCTTAACTACACAGTAATTAATTATATTTTCTTAGCACCTAATGCTTTTCTTATGAATCTAATAAATCGTTTATTTTAATTGACGTGCTCTTCAATGTCGAGTTGCGAATAATATTTTTCTACAACTACATAGTACTCGCGACTTTTTCAAAATACAACTAAATATAATACATTTTTTAAAAACAATTTATTTTTACTACAAGTAACCACAACTTCCCTAAACTGCTTCTTCTGTATGCATATATATATATTTGCAGTAGATATTACCATGAAAACACTGAAACACTGAAGTCGGCACGACCCAAGGACATAAATGAATGTCTTGGATCCCGCAACGATATAAATTAGAAGATCTTATTTGAGGAGAAGACGGAATAGTTTCCACATCCCTCGGTAAATTTAATGCAGGAGACAGAATGGCTTTTAAGTCTTATGTAACAAAGGACGTCAGTTTTTTTTAATCTTTAACTTTAACACGTGGTTGACAACAACGGATATAATCCCTGAAAATGAATGATAATGACTAATACTTTGGTATCATCAGTACCTGTAATAACTTGTTTATTTATCAATAACTAGCAATCCACCCAGGCTTCGCACGGATGCAAAGCTTTTTTTTTTGGAAGGTTAATCATCGCATGATTTCTCTCGCCCAGGTTATGGCGAGAGGGAGCGTCAGACTCTTACTGACTAAAAGCCCTCCTGTTCCTTCTCCTGCTCAAGGCCGAGCGTCAAGCATTGCACTTGACCCGCGACCCCGGCTAGAAATTGGTCCCATCTGTGGTGGTCTATTAGCTCTTTGAGGCGCGCGCGGAACGTTACGCGTCGCACCCTCGGGCCTGGTTCTGGTCGGGCGACGAGCTACCCTTGCTTGCCGATCGCAGAACTGCGCTTACGGTGGTCGGAGTGCAAAGCTGGCTCTAAAATTCTAAATCTCCACTATTTTATTGATATTATTATGATAAACGTTCCTCTTCAATCGCTAAATGTTATATTATTATTATTACAAACCGCATTGAAATCCGTTGCGTAATTTTAAAGATTTAAGCATACATAGAAATATAGGGACAGAGTAAGAGACTTTGTTTTATGTACTATCTATTTATATGTAAGTCTTTTAAAACATACTATTAGATACTATATCTAAATTATAAACTTTTATGACCGTCTCGTGTCTTTGATAAACAAACGAATTCGCAATTTTTTTTTATCAGTCAATTACCTACTTTGTTTTAGTATTTTATGGTCTTTGACGCAAAAAGGGTTAGGCTGACATTGGGTATAGTTAAATCACAAAATGTAAGAATGGCATAGTCAAAAACAACTGTTTTTATAATATTTTAGTAGATAAATCGATACTAGGAATTAATATCTGTGTGTACAATCGGCCGATATAAAATATCGGACTGAGTTCTGTTATCCAGGTCCTTTGAATTAATTCAGCCTTTACGTAGCGAACGAAATGACTAATTAGACAATTAGGTTCTATTCAACATCGAAAGATGATCTCCGGCCACCGTAAGCGCGGTCTGCGGACGGCGAGTAAGGGTAGCTCGCCGCCCGACCAGAACCACACCCGAGCGTACGGCGCATAGCGTTCCGCGCGTGCCTCAAATGGCCAATAGACCACCACAGACGAGGTCCTATAGGGCTGATATTCAGCCGGGGTTAAGGGGCAAGCGCAATGAGTCACCGCGGCCTCGGCCCAGAGCAGGAGAAGGAACGTAGGTATTTTTAGTCATTAAGAGTCTGACACTCTTTCTAGCCTTATACTCTGGGCGGGTGAAGTCATTTGATGATTTTCCCCCGACAAAAAAGGTACTATTCAACATTGTTTTAGGACAATTTATAGTAACTTCTATACTTTGATTTGTTGGAATGGCAACTTCATAATTATTATTATGATTTTACAAAATATATAGCTCTCTTTCTTTCTATCTGGAATCGAAAGTGAAACGATATTAATGATTGGGTAATATTTGTAAGATAAACATTTTCATGCAGTTTCTTGCTCGTTCTTCTCCATCCGAATCTACAATTTGGAATGAGCACCTAGCTTCACTGACGAACACACATGACAGACTACTTCTCTATTTTGACGTTTCAAAAGTACCTATTTATGGTTTAGTTGGAATAAATGATTTTGACTTTTGACTTTTGACAACATCTTTGACAGCCCTTTTGCAGCGATAGGGTTGTTTAGTTTGAGTGTTGATCTCTCTCTATTACCAAGGGTAGATTGGCAATTAATTTCTCACGTTTTCTTATTCAACTGTAAGTGTCCAGTCTCTATGATTCTAATATCTACAGTTACAAATAAGTTTCCACAACTAGTCAACGTCAAAAAGTATGTGTAGCCAGTTAAATTCAAAGTAAAAAGATCAAGCAAACACACAGCCCACAAGCTGTCAACAATCAATCCAAAATAAAAAACCTATTTATAAGCACATTCTCTACACAGACAATAAAGACACATAATCCTTCAAAATTCACAAATCACATCATAAGTACCACTTTTTTAAAGAACCACATAGATCCACTAGATCTTTCAAGTGTCCATCACAATCTGCGACTATAGCTGATCCGTCCATTAGGTCGTGACTCTCAAATTACAGGAGGTAAATGAATTGGCTAAACGTAACCTTCAGGCTACACTTGTGTTCACATAAGTCATATGATTGGTCACGTGGTTTCTTAAAAATACCTTATAAATGTATAAAATTAAGGACAAGAAAAAGAAAAGAAGATGTGCATTTTTGTTCAGAAGCTTTGCTAAGTACATAAAAGACGATACAAAATGGAATAGCAATAAACATGAGAGCAACAAAGTAGATAGGTATGTACTTCAAAATTCCAAAAGTCCTGAATAAACTCCACCGGCTTTTGAATAACTGCATTGAATTTGTCTCCAACCTGCGAAAATAATAAATGTTCATGTTTCTGCACATTGGCTGCAGTCAAAGTTGTTGTCCATACGCCATCGCAGGGAGCAAAAGGTGCTCTACTCTTTTTTTTTTGTCAGGGAAAAATCATCTAATGACTTCTCCCGCCCAGGGAAAGGCGAGAGAGAGTGACAGACTCTTACTGACTAAAAACCCCCCGTTCCTTTCCTGCTCTGGGCCGAGGCCGCGATGACTCATTGCGCTTACCCCGCGACCCGGCCCCGTCTATAAACACTCTACTCTGTTTCCTTGATTCGCCTTCGCCTACCTAACTGCCATATGATGAAGTAACAAGAGGCCCAATCTCTAAATCCCTAACGACCCACGAAATGTAATCAACCCACTTGTTACTGCTTTGAATTTCCGAATGCGTAACATAACAACAACAAGTATAGCAGTGGTGGTACATGAACCTTAAACAAACCTATATATAATTGTGGTGATCCATATATTATTATATCGAACTGGCGAATATTTCTTTAATAAAATTTAAAGGCATTTGAAATTTAAACTTTAAAAAATATTTTTTAAAGCCCTTAAGCCGGATTCTCAAATATTCTAAGTCATTCCACGGAGCTTAGAATAGTAACCGATGCATTGTAATAGGGTTACCATTTATCTTAAATCTATCTCAATCACTATTTCAGCCCCAGAAGGGAAATACCTAGAAATTTCCATTGCGTACCTGATTGAGTACAGCCATATCCTTAAGTGCAAATCACAAATCTCGTAAAGTTAATGAAGGTATTTTCGTTATTTTACTTTATCATAACACTGTTAACAGATAGTGTAACTTTTTTGATCAAAAGTGACATTTGAAGTTTGGTTATCGAAACACTCTGGAGGTAAGTGAATGATTTTTGATTTTATAAAATAATTATTGCTTAGAAGTTGTTATTTTCATTTCTTTTGTATAAAATACATATCAGAGTAAGTTATAAAGAACAATATAAATGATTATCTATTACTAAAATAAAACTAAGGTCATGTCAATTTTACTGTACTCGGTTGAGTACAGTGACAACATACGTAAGTAAAAAATTGTTATTTTCTATCAGATTCTTTGCAATGAAGAAGCAATAATTTACATCGCAAACGAGCTATAAAGGACTTGAAGAAGCTATTGAAGCCATTTTACAAGATGGCGATGATGATGAATATGACTTGGCTATCATACCACCTTATCCAAATGCATTGACTGATGGAGGTGCCGATGAGGATATGGGAGCCTGTTTCATGCCACAAGACATACTTGGCACTATTGAGGTATTTATAAATCGAGAGTACAGTGGTAGCGAAGATTGTGAGTACGAAGACAATGATAATGAACCCCTATAATCAAAAAGAAGGTGACTAGATTCTACCCGTCAATCCACTTCAAATTCGAGTCCAATCTGACAAAATGTTCTCCATCATATAATTCAGCTTTTCAGACTACTTCCGAAGTCTGCGACAGGAAAAGTGCCATTTGTGAAGAACTGAATGGCCTCAACTCTGTGCAAATATTTGAAAATTTGTTTGATATGATTATAACTAACAGCAAACTGTTCGCTAATCAACACAATAGACATGACATTCAACTGGATTCCAGTAGCCTGAAAAGGGTTTTAGGGGTGCGGATTTTCCAAGTCCAATAAAGAAGGAGGAGATAGACGTAGCGATACCACATTTATTCCGAACCTACGATAAAAATATGGGACATGTAGATGAACTCGATCAGTCATTCTCACTATATAGAATTGCTGTCCACGATAAAAAGTGGTGGTAGATACTTTTTACCTACATGGTAGACATGGCTGTAGCGAATAATAATAAGCCTATGGATCAACTCATGTCCCCCGTCGTATTGCACGATATTACCTACGAGTATTTACGCAAAGGTGAACAAAGAAAATCGCGTCAGGCTGCATCAATAGTCGAAGGCCTGCCTCAATATGGAGTTGGACATTATCCTATGAACATTGAAAAACAGCTGCGATGTGTCCTTTGTCATTCAAGAGTGTGCTGGCAATGTAAAAAATGCCTAAAAAGACTTTGTGTCGAAAAAGCTTGCTTTGAAAATTTTGATACCTAGGCGGTCAGTATACTCAATTGAGCCCTGTAACTTCATGAAAACTGTAATTTTGATTATTTTTCTTGTATTTTGTGTTTCTTTATTCTTATTCCAATACGAAAATAAACAACATTTATAAAATATTATGTTACTTTTTGTTTGACCTCTAATGGGTTAATTGCTGTGTTCTGCAATATTTTGCAGGTTTAAAAAATGCTGTTTTATTTGTATCAGGCGTTACGTTAGTCGCCATAGAGACTTTCACGATTTTCTTCGATTCATTCCCCTGGTAGAATTTATAAGTATAATTATTTGTTTGGCACTTACTAGATACCTACCCTAAAAATTTGATACTATGTCAACCTCCTGTTTTCAGGTTTATACATATTTATTTAGCCTTTTTACAACTTGCTCACATTTCAATTACAGGCGCCACGCCATATATGATGAAAAGTAGCTGAGCTTATTAGCCTACATTGTCATCACCAGTCTATAAGTGCTCACTGCTGAGCAAAGATCTTCTCACACAGAGAAGGTATGAATATAAATCACCGCCAATGCTTAAAGCGGATAGGCGATTTCAAACTTATAATATGAAATTATGTGTCTAGGTTTCATCACGATTTTTTATGTGATAGGACGGAAAACGAGCAGATGGATTACCTGAAGGTAAGCAATCAGCACCGCCCATGGACACCTGCAACAACGAAAGAGTCACGAGGGCGTTGTCGACCGGCAGGTTTAGGAGATTTTGGGATTCGGGACAGATTTAGAGAGAGAAAGGATTGGGCCTCCAGTAGCCTCACGCGCACCGTGAAACAAAACGCTGTGATTGGTTCACGCCAGTTTTATGCGAGGCCATGGTTTCACTCCGGTCGCGCCGACTCTTTTGTGCCGAAGTATGGCTCTCCAACACTTGATGGAGATGTTTATCGTACAGCATAAATATCAAAGTGATGTTTAAACAATCTTAGAAAGTGTTAGTAACTCGGAAATTCACATTGGTACTTGTGAGGGCGAAATCGCGTACATAAGAAGTGGGCGCCTTAACCTCCAGACTAAAGCCTACACTTCCATTATTTTATTTTACTGCACCGTACGCGCGGTGGCTGGCCAACTGGCTGTTACACAGCGTGTCGCGAGTTCGATTCCCGCACGGAAAAAATCTATGTGTGATCCGCAAAATGTTGTTCCGGGTCTGATGTATACGTGAAATTGTATGTTTATAAACGCACCCACGGCACAGCCGAAAATCCTAGTGTGGGTCTTATAAAAAACAATCAAAAGTATCTACTCACACCATCATTTCATAAAATAGAATCTATTCTATTTCTTTATTCGATTCAATAATACCTACTCTATTAGTATTACCTAAATAGCGGATCATAATATCAAGTCCTGACCATTAACCCAGTTCTTAATAAACAAAAATAAGTCATTGACTGACATACAAACACACTAATAACATAATATCACTCTCAAGAACATTCTAGATCACTCACACATGGTGCTGGAATTAGGCCAATCCTATATCTTATGTAATAGGATACGCCTAATTGCAAATACAAGGCAATATCTCATCTGTTTTATTTCGCTAAATTAATTGGTTCAGGGTTTCGCGGTCTTTTGCGAGGCGGCCATTTTTTGGGGGTCATTATAATAATGACTTATGTTATGTTATTAGTTTTGTAAGTACCTGGTTACTTGTATCTGGTATTGTTAGTTCTAGTATTGCTTATGATATCCTGTCACAATTGGTTAGACTAGCAGGATGTCGGTCCTTGTGTCAGCTTGGAGTTGTCATGCTCACTCAAAGGTCACAGTAGCGGTGGCATGGGCGCTGGATCGCTTAATTCCCTATACTATGGTTGAGTTGGGCGATGCTGGTGTACGTGTCATGTTCGCGGACGGGCGCCGTCAGCTGAGACTGGTCAGCTCCGGACTGTCTATTGTCCTTAAGGTTATTTTCTTATATTTGAAACTGATTTAAAAAGAGTAACTATGGAGTTTCTTGCTCGTCCTTCTCCATCGGAATCTATACTTTGGAACGAGCAAATAGCTTCACTAAGAGGACTGACCGACAGACTGACACTATATCTTCACAATTTTGTTTGACGTTCAAAAGTGCCTTATTGGGGTCTAATTGAAAATTAGAAAGATTTTTGACTTTTGTTACTTTTGGTGCTTGCCTTCAGGTGATCCGTCTGCTCGTTTGGGGCTCTGTACCATAAAAAAACCTAGTGTACTTGGTGACTGCACGCCTTATCTACTTTGACGTCGAATAAACGTACTTTCTTTATCAAAGTATTTATTTTTAGTAGGTACTCTTAAATTAATTCTCATTTGAAAAAATGACCTTCACAGACTTAATGTATCCTACCTTTATTTTTTGAGTGAGTAAATACATCATATGACTTCTCACGCCCTGAGTGTGGTGAGAGGAAGAGTCAGCCTCTTACTGACTAAAAACCACCCCGTTTCTTCTCCTACTCCAGGCCGGGGCTGTGATACAGGCACTTGGACCTGCAAAACCCGCTGAACATCTGTTCAGCTACTATTGGGCCCATCGGTGGTGGTGTACTGGCTCTTTGAGGTGCACGCGAAATACTACATTCGTTTCTAGCTCTGGTCGGGCGACAAGCTACCCTTACTCTAGGCCCGTAGACCAGCGCTTATGGTGGCCGGGGATTGCCTCGGGCT